TTTTCCTCACCGTGTTTGTCAGGATGTTATCCTTATAGTATGTTATCTCATTAATAGGATTATACACCACTCTATTTCATTCCCCTCTATACCATCTTCCTCCACATGTTTTTAGTACCACATGTTTTTTTACGTAACCTCACATGTGGTCGAGATAAACTTTCTTTTTAGTTTTTTACTATACACTTGTTCCTTCTAAAGATGACGTATGTAGTCACTTTACCACCGCTATCAATCTTCCTTCATTACCACTATATGACTCTACCATAACTTGGGATGCTTCTCCAGCACCTTTTCAGGTATATTAAAGTTGTTCACAGTCTATTGAAATTGCAGTGTAAGACCCTCTTTGATGGTGAATGATATAGTGGAGGTTATGCCTTATCTTTCTTCTGTACCAAGTTCGGTCTCTTCTAAAAATGACTGACCTATTGCTATTCAAAAAGATACACGTTCTACATGTATCCCTCTTCCCCACTATATCATCAACTTTCCACCATACATTATATTTGTTTGTGCTTGTTATTTTGTGTTCCTATTCCTAGGTCTTCAGGTGAAGCTTTATCTCTCCTAGACTAGTGAGAAGCGATGTACCCTTCAAAGTAGTAATACTTGGGAGTTGATTTTTCTTCCAGCTGACAAATCAATTCTAGGGTGTCAATGGTTGTACACTCTTAAAACATGATTGTTATAAAGCTTGCTTGCTTGTTGAAGGATACATACAATTTTATAGTCAAGATTATTATGACACTTTCTCTGTTGCAAGAATATCTGAATTATATATGTATATTAATATTAGGAATGTTTTTCATTTCTATATCATATCTTTATTATTAGAGGATATCAAATCTTCTCTATTTATTGTATAGATTCCATTTTCTCAATATAAATAAAGCATCCATGTTGTTTTAGAAACACATGGTCTCAGCACAATGTCTCTCTCTTTTGTATAGTTTAATAGTTAAGATAATTTGAACGGAGCAAGATGCTAGTGAATAATGAAACCTTGTTAATGAAAAAGTTTGCCATGAGTACTAAGGTTTCCTTCGAATTTTTGTTGCTGTAAATCTTTGTGGACTTAGTTTATTCTCTGGCTAACCACATCTTGTGAGCAAGAATTATTGTTGGAAGGACCGTGGATTTATTAGCATTTTTTTCAGCAGTGTTCACATGGATATCCCTACTTCAAAATGTCCCCACAAACTACCATCTAGGTTTTTGATGTTTGTCTTCTTTTTTTTTTCCTGCTTTGGTGAGTGTGAGTAAAACATTGAATCACATTTTCTTTGGTGAGGTTTCTAATGCTGAGTTTCAATATTCATTTTATTTTAATTCTAATACATTCGTCGTCATTCCTTTTATAGTATGCCACAAGCGTTAAATGTTTTGCTTTCCTAATGTGCAATGATTGCACTAGTGATCTTAAATTTTGTTGAGATTGGGTAATAACTAATTGAATGGTAAAAGTCATGATTGTATTGTGTCTTGTGTAGATGAAACGAAAGGATACAAGTATTGATAAGGTATATGATGCACGTGCATTAAGAGTAGTTGTGGGAGACAAGAATGGGACTTTACATGGTTCTGCAGTTCAATGTTGCTATAGTCTTCTTGACATTGTACACAGGTAAGAAAATGATCGAATATCATACTATTTTAATTTAACAACCTATACATAAGTCGTTAATGCAATCAACTGTATAAAGATAGGCATAAAGTTAATTTGAACCTTCTTTACCAATGCAACAATATTGGTAGGTTTTTTATATGTATATTTTTTGTTTAACTAGGAAAGAAATCCATAATAGAAGTAATAATGCAGCAAAGAAGCAGAGGAGGATAAAATATTCTCCTAGAGATAAAACCATGAAAAACACATCAACTAAATTAATCTCTTCTACATTTCCATCATTTTTTCCTTTTCAGTTATTTTGGACTATCTGTGAGGTGGGTATGAACTTGTGTGCTTATTGTCTTTGTTCTTAAGAGTAGAAGGTTAGAAGTATAAAATATCTTATGCTTTTTTTAATCCATCCCCCCATTGCCTTGAAATGGCTCTAAACTATTTATGTTATCTTTTATTTATACCGGCTTGGACTCCATTAGATGGTGAATTTGATGACTACATTATTAATCCAAAGCCTAGTGGCTATCAGGTTAGGCTTTCATGTTAATTTTTCATTAACTAAACCGAATGATGTTTTTCTTTTAGTCGTGAGAATTGTGCTCGTGATTGTATTAACCTGTTAATATTGCAGTCATTGCACACTGCAGTTCAAGGTCCTGACAGCTCACCTTTAGAAGTTACAAATAGAACCCGTGTAAATTATTTCACATATGCTGTAGAGTTTACTTGTTTTTTGGTATTTTAGGTTCTTCATATTTTAATTTATCATGTTGCATGATAGAGGATGCATGAGTGTGCTGAACATGGACTTGCCGCACATTGGCTTTACAAGGAAACCGGAAATCCATTTTTGTCCATAGACAGAATGGATGAACCTGAAACAGAAGCATCCTCTTATTTCTCCAAAGATTTAGAGGGAGGAAATTCTGCAGATATTTTATTAAGTAAATATAATTCATTTAATAAGGTTGTCTGGACATCCATCCTCAGAGGTAGAAGGAAGTCACTTACTTGCTGCTGTTATCATCAGGTGCATAACTTTCATTTCAAACGGATGTTAAATTATAAAAAGCTATCCATACTGTTAGTCACTCGTGTTCATTATCTCTTCAGTGTAGAAAATGATGAAAGAGAATTACTTGTTGCTGTGAGCTTTGGACTAGCTGCTTCTGAAGTCAGTTGCCGACAGAAGATCTTTTCCATTCAGCGATGGGAAGCCTATGCACGACTAATTTAAAAAGGTTGATACTTAAATTAAACATTTTTAATTAAGCGATGGCTCATGATGAATGGTTTATCAAAAGGACGCATTGACTAGTAACACCTTCTGAGAAGATGGATCACTATGTGTGACAGTTAAGCTTATTGACTGGCTTACTACATGCTGTATTGCTCCCTCCATGACCAGATCCTGCTGTTGTTAATTTTGGTCATTTTTATAGTAATTTTTAGTTTTAAATTACACCTGGGTCAACTTTGCTTACTCTTGATATGCTTCAGGTATCTGATGAATGGTGGTTTGAACCAGGACATGGGGATTGGTGTACTTGTCTAGAGAAGTACATACTATGTCGAGATGGAATGTATCATAAGGTATGTTTTTCTAAGAGTATAAATGAACACTACAATTTATTTTATTTTGGTTTATCAGCAATTGACACAGTGACAGACACCAAAATTGTTTTGGATATGAAAACCCATCCTTTGCGTACTGGCCGTGTTATAGTCCATAATCTCCAACATGAGCTGTAAATATATCTGTGGTGTCGAAATTACTATGAGAAATTATAGTCATTTTGGGCAGCCTTTTGCGGAGTCAATATTTGAAGGTGATCAGTCATCCAGCAAATTTGTGTTAGAGTTTCATTCCTCCTGTGTTGACTAAATGCTCGATAAAACATAAGGAACGGATACTTTTCGGAAAATTATGTCCTCATGTAGTGAAGAAAAATATTAAAATCAAATGAATTATACAACTAGCATTGTATTCCGGAACATAAATAATAGAGTTACCGTTCTGATATATCTTGTTATTTCTCTGTATCCATATTAATCGGTCACATTTTTAATTTTTTCATCATTTATGTCATTCTATATCGTATTTCTAGTGTTAAACATAAATATGTTATTTAGTCTCTGATGTTTCGAATGCCACGTGATGGATAAAATAATTGTTTTGAAAATTTTGATCATAATTTAGAATTTAGTTTGCATTTGTGATGAAACTGATTTAGTTAAGTTGTTGCACATCATTGCATGAGAATGTAAAACTTTTTAATATTGAAGATGTAGAAAAAACAATATATTTAAGTAATGTTGATTTCTTTCATTACTGATTTTCTTAGAACTACAGTGGGTTTGCAAACTCAGACTGTTGTACTGAAGAATTTTATATTTATTATTGCACATTCGCAGCAGACCAATTTGGGAGACTACTCCCACTTTCATCAAGTATCAATTTTACTGATGTGCCAGAAGAATCTAATATTGGGCTGTTGTGGCGGCCGTGTTTGAGGGCAGACAAGTTAACTGGATAACATCTCACTCAAAATTTGACTTGGTTGCATCAACTTCTGCTGAAGCCGGCATCAATAACAAGGTATTTGGCAACCATCTTACCTCTCTTACCATTGTGCACATGGAGATTCTTTTTTTGCTTTCCGTTTTTTCAATTGCCAATCAAATTCATATAAATCCATTATTTTCTTGTAAAGTAATATTTTATTTTCACCCTGCTTTCATTCCAGTAGATTTGGTGAATGTAAATGAATGTTTTCGGTGATTGTGTATGTAATTCATCCTTTAGGTGAAGCTTTTGAGAACACTCTTTCCTGGTAGAGCATTGCGCTCTGAAGTAAGTGGTCCAAGCAACAAAATACGACCCTACAAGTTTTATGATTCTTCACGGTTCTCTTGGGGAAGTGGTAATTATTTGTTGCCTCATGGTGAAATTTTGAGGTTAAAAGTGGAAGCCTTGGGCTACTGATGCTGCTCAAAGAGTTGGTTTGGAAGGACAGCTGGTTTTTGGATTAATGGACATTTAGTACTGCCCAACACAAAACTCAAGATGGAGATGTAGTGAAGTACGAATTTAAATTAATTCTTTCTTGCAAAATGTAATAATTCTTTATGGGTCGAGTGTGTTTTAAAGTGGATGGATAGAAATATTTTTATTTTTCCATATATTTTATTTGGTGATATGGGATTTGTCGGTGGAATAACTCTTAAAAATTCAAATGTGTTGCTTTAGACTAGATTCCAATAATATGTTTTTGATACCACATGTGCTATCATACAATTACATTTTTTTTTATTATTTTGGTTGTATATGTGGTTATTCCTATTTTTGGAAATATGGTTATTCACGGTACTGGGAACTAAGCAATAAACCACAGCATTTTAAAATTGTATGAAGCTACAGTGATTTGTGCCAAAAATCTTTGGTAAAGAATGGGCATGCCCAGGGAAAAGGTTGTGATTTTATTACTAATATAATTACAGTTGCATGCAACATTTACTTGACAGCCTTAAAACAAGGTTCGTTATAAGCAGCTAGTCTAAACGAATTTGAACATGCCTGGCATGAACTACTTTTATAATAAATATTGACTACATTACATATTGATCCATTAATTAAATGCACAAAAGAATGTTCTAGTTCGTATAATTCAATATAATTTAATTAATTTTTGTTGAGTGACGGCTAAACATATTTCTTCCTCCTCAGAATTCCTTTCCACTTTGTAATTAAGAAAGAAATGGAGAGTTCAATTGCAGACAAAAACCGGCAATCTTGTAACTAGCAGGACCAAAATCTACAACGACTTATTAAGACGAGAGAAATTTCAAACCAGCCCGAAAGACTACATGTGTCCCTAATAAGTCCAAGTCACTGGCATCACCTTCTTCCAGCAACTAACCCTTAAGCAAATCTCCAACTTCTCCACTGCCACAATCCAATCCAGCATTCCATACTCAAGACTTTCAAAATGCACAGGGTTTACGGGATATCATGTCTTAAAGTAAGAAAAACATATAAAAACACAGAAAGCAAGAAAAACACAAGATGAGCAGTAACAAGGTCACTCAAAAAGATGAAGTAACCGTCATCAAAACCCGATAGAACAGTGCCAAGATGTTTGTTACCTACAGTCGAAGGATCATCACCAATATCACAATCCGCCCTTTCTTGAACCAATTTATCTCCATGCAGAGTGACTTTCAGCAATCAACTTGGAATACAAATACAGAACCCTTTTTGGAAGCAACTGCGTGATACCAAATAGATAGTAAGAATTTGGTCATCACAAGTTTGAAATGAATAATAACTTCAACTTCACCAAAAAATCCCAGAATTTGTTATGTTTAAGGTTCCTAGTTCGTAAAAACTAATTCACAATATTGAAAGGGATACTGATGAACCTAAAATAAAGGATAAGATTCTCAGAACGAGAAAGTACCGGTGATAGTAAGTCAAAACCTATTTAATTTTCCTAGTGAAAGTGGTAACTTGTGCATGAATTGCATAATTGTTCAGATACGCCCACAATTTTAAGTTGCGGCTAGGAATTAGGAAAATATGTTCGGTCTAAAAATCTAGAAAACCGTATAACTTCAAACAAGCTTTTACAGGAATAACAAATTTGATAATGCAACGCCAGTTCTCTATTACCTCGAATTTATCATCTTCAGTATTATCCCAAAGCTTCTGCAGTTTCACGAATCATGATGCCGTGAATTCCAGTAAAATAAGTTATTTTACACTCCACAACTGCAAAAACGGATGGACTAGGTATAGTCAGTGATAACATGCAGATGATTATATAGGAGAAGAGGCTAAAACAACTAATTTTTTTCATATTGACACATCAGAAGCCCAACTCTTTTTTCTTCTAATGGACGGTGAAAAGGGTTATGCAGGAAAGAGGGGATTTCAAAGGCAAGGAAGAGCACTGATGAAGGAATGTTTCTTGAACAAGAGAAGCAAACACTTGGTTTGCACCTTGAACCAACCGGGCAGGTTACTCCCCTATTGAACTCATTGCCATAATTTAAAAAATGATCATATAAAAGATCTCAAATCAATTAGAAATATGATCAAATTATAATATATAAATAAACAAAAATCTAAGCTTACAAGTCAGTTTTGTAATGTTGAAATAGATTTAAATTCCATTTTCAAACAAAATATCATAGCCCAATTTTAGTGAGGTCTGTTGATCCTACTGTGTAACCTTTTAACGAATTGTTATCAAATCATCAGCAAATTTCTACTTCCATGCTTAAAAAATATTATTGAAGATCCACAATCAGTAAGATGACAAATTATTATATATACATATACATACATATGTGTACGCATACACTTAACCTCACAAGCAGATTGTAAGATGGGCTTTGTGTCTACTAGTCAAAATAAGCTTTTTCAATTCTAGTACAGAGGTAACAGCAATTTTAACACACTTTTAACGTACATAAAAGAATTACATATTAGAACATTTTCTTCATCTTTTGAGAGAGAAAAAAATAGAAAAATAATTGTCCTTATTAGGTCCAATGATTGTCTTAGTTAATGCAAACTTTTTCTTTTTTATTATAAGATTATCGTAGGTGTTTTTAACTCATTAGAAAGTAAAAAAGAATGTGCTCAAACCTAAAATGAAAGCACCATGTAGATCTGCAACCTAGGAGACAATTGCGTCGTTGATTTCTTCCTGCAATATTAAACAAGTTAATAGTCATAAAAGCCTCAAGAGGAAAGCAGCATAAATTATCTTGAATTACCCTCCCCCGTTGCTGGAGTATCTGAAGACAGAAACAGATTATTTTCACCTCGACAAAATTAAACATAAGATGTACCCAGTTGATTTTAAGAAGCAGCATTATATAATCTTTCCACATTTCATGCATTGGCTTGAAAATATCGAATCTGCAAGCAGAGTAAACTATTAGGGAACAAAAGAAATAAGTGTGACCAATAAACTTGTACAAAACATTATTTGTACATAGCATAAAGCTAAACTTCCCAACAAAAAGCTGGTGCTGAATAAAGATTCCCTCACAACATATACATTAACAATTGCAGCAGTTAAAATTAAACATTAAGGATCAACATATTGTCAGGAAGTGTCTTTTTAACTTACTTTTGGAACTCTTGAGGAAGATATAATGATCCACACTTTTTATCTGTTCATAGACATGTGTTTCTTAGAGCGTTTTGATGGATTTCCAAAGCCTAGTTTTGAGAGCTAGAAAGAAAAGCACCCGTCCTTTTACAAAATTCTCAAGAAGGATCCAGTTGTCAATTTCATGTTTTCTAGATCCTTGCATGTACTTTGGTGCAAGCATCTCCCTTCTGAAGAGCTCATGCCAATATTCCATCAATCGAACTCTTCTTTCGGTGGAAAACTGCCAAATATTGTCAATGGTGACAATACAAATTTCCACCAAATTTTATCATTGCTAATGAAAAAACTCATCTTTCAAACTGGAAGAAGAAACTTCCACATTTTGGTTAGATGGGAGCACACACAGTTAATTGGTTAAAAGGTGGCTTTTAAGATCTGTGGAATTATTCCATGCATCCGTGTTTGTTTTAAGAGTTAGCCATTAGGAGATTAATTATTACAGATTTTAATGGAAAATTTTATCAGCAAATATGCTTATTTAGATTTCTTTTAATATCTCAGCCAGGACATTAGTTCCAAGCAAGGAATTACCTCACTATTTGTGAGCAGATTGGCATTTACAGGCAAAGAAAGTTGGGCATATACGGGACCATCTTCAATTTCTGCAAATAATTAGTAACATCATTTTGTCCTCTATTTATTGAGAAGTGATAAGTATACCCACCGAAAGTATACGAGGTGCAAAAACCCTCAAAATCAAAAGGATGAAAATATAAAAGAAAGAACTTAGATATCAAAGGGTAGTATGACATTGAGTTTCTAGTACCTTGTGAATTGGTATGACCAGAAAAGGTTAAAATTTCCTAAAAGGGGAGAAAATGGAAATTATCAGATTAAATGTCAAAAACAAGATATTTACAGATATTCGCATCAGTATCATAAAGCAGAATTCACAGATTAACTACAAAAACCAAGACACAAGACAAAATACTTCCTAACGTAGATAACAAGTTCTTATGATACAACTAAAGAAAAAAATGTGCAAGTGAAACATCCTACAATGTATTAACTTACTACCAGCAGTGAAGAAAGAAGGAAATAAGAACAATCAACAACATTGAAAGATGAATTACCTTTCTTGGGTGTGACTGAAGATGAATGCAACAAATGCGGGGAATGATCTTTAGAAGTAGAATCCGTAGGAATACGTGGTTCGCCATTTTCATTTATATTCTTTTTGTTTTTCTTTTCTATTTGAAGAACCTCAGCCTTAGCAAAAGCTATTCTTCTCTCCAAAGCCTCCAATGTGCGTTTCCTTGAATCTGTAGCCATGGACACCTACCCAGGCACAATATGATAAAAAAGAAGAGAGAAAAGGTGACAAACGGTCAAAATATAATAGCGCAAAAGTATCATCAAATTGATATGTTCTTCTCAAACATGAAAATGGAAAACAATTGCAGAATAAAGAAGATTCTTAGGCTGCCATAAAATTTATGAGAAAAAACACACATGCAGAATAAAATCTAAAGTTCCAAAAAGAATAATTTTCTTAAATTTAAAAAATATTAAATAAAGCTTTTTTTGTTGTGGTCTTCCGCCGTAGCGTGTGAAGCTCCGACACGGCAGTGGGATCGCGCTTCCTGTCTCCGACCGCAGTACGGACACGGACACGTGTCGAACAAAATTCAAAACATAATAAACCCTGCAAGGAACTTCACATCCCTCTCTCCTCACAAGTTGCATGAAACAAGCCCCATGACCCGTGGAAACACTTTTCCTACCCATACTTAGGCTTACTCGCCCAAGAACTCAAGCTACTCCTCTCAACACCAACAAACTCTATCTTCTCTACTAATTCTTTCCTCTTCTCATTCCACCCAAGACCATGGAATCTGCACCACCTCCTTATACCCCAAAGCACACTATTCCACCAAGACTTAAACACACCCTACTCATTTTGTGTTCACCGAGACGCTCACGGTTTTACTCCTTCACACCCTCTCATCTCTTCACTATATCCTCACATAACTCCATAATGTAACACACCTATATATTAATATATATACACTACACGTCCAGCCCTACTGCTAGCAAAAGATTAAAACCCAGACTACCACAAAGAATATCGGTTCACTCTATACCGGTTTCACAAGCAAAAGAAAATGTTTATCACAATACCAAGTTCATGCAACATATCAACATTCACAAACCCTATCCACACATGATATTTTCTTAGCTACTCCCCTTACCTTGCTTTCCAGAGACCCTCCAGAGTTTCCCTTTGACTCCTAGCGGTGTTGGTTGGTTTCTCCTCCTCCCAGTGGTAATTGTAGCAGCTCCCTTCTTTTCAGCTTTCTCTCTCGGTGCTCCACCTCCTCCTCCCTTGTTTCAACCTTCTATTTATTTATACTTTTTTTTAGAACAAATCCTAAGAGATAATTTTTTATATCCCTTCGACCCCAATCGGTTTCTTTAAACCCTTGGAGATATATGCCTTCTGTTTTCTGTTCTGGTTTAAAAACCAACTCTTTGCTACCAATATTCACACGAAGACTCCCTTCTCTGTATTACAAATCTATCTACTTTACCTACTCATCCGTGGCCCTCACTTACCAAGCAAAACAATGAATTAAACCCCAAACCATGACCCTCGTTATCAATCTCGAAACTTTATGGAAACTCGTGAAAGTGGGTAGATTAAGAGTTTATTTCAGATAAAAAATATTATATAAATAATATCTACCGTCTATAAAATTATAAAACTTTAAATAAATAAAATTTATAGATGTATTGTTTATGAAAATATATATTATAAAACATAAAAGTAATGACAATGACCATGGCGAAAGACAGACGTGAGAGATAGTGACAATCAGATCATAAAATTCTAACTCCAAACAACCTCGTTTTTTCTTAATTTGTTTTCATTTTAAGCTCACAAAATCGATATAAACTCGTGATTTTACATTATACTACTGATTTCACAATCGATTTTACAAGTTTACGTAAAAAAACGAGTTTACTTTATGAATTAACTCGGAAGACATATCTTAAAATATAAATTCGGATGAGTTTCCTCTAGAGTTTAACAAGCATCTCCAACAATCCATAGAAAAAAAAAGCAACCGAAACCGTTTAACAAAACATGTCCAATTAGCATTTGAATTGTATCACATTAACACCTAACATATAATATAATATATAAACATGGAACTTATAAGTAACTATAATATAATGATAATTAATTTTATTCACTAAAATAATACACTTAACATACCAAACCCATACAAAAATTGTTTTATTTTATTACTATTATTTTTATTATATAAAAATAATTGTTTAAAGTTGTTTCATTTTTCTCGAATCTTATATTCTTTTAAACTTCAAAAATTTTCGTCCAATATTTATAAAAGAACATACATAATGTATAAGTACAATAATTTGATACTAAAAATAATGCATTGTATAATCATTAAGAGAAACAATATGTTGCACATAAAAAAAAACAATTGAATAGCATGAAATAAAAACTAAAGTGATAGTAAAAGATATAGCAACCATGTAGCACATAAAAGCAACAACATAAACATAATAATAATTCGATACTGTACAACCAGAATAAAATACAAACCCCGAATTTGTAACTACTAACTAATTTCCAAATCAACTTTTATATGATTTAACGTAGTATATCAATTGGATAACACAAATAGAAAAATTTTAAAAATAAAAAAAAAATCAAATCATGCAAAAATAAATCCATAACATAATAACATCAAGCTCCAGCAGATTTTCGAAAATCTGACTCTCATGCCAAATGTAATATCTTGATTTTTTTTATGTCTCACACGGTGCAATTTTTTCAAAACCTTTTTATAAAAGGTTTGTGAAAGATAATAAACTTTATTAGATTAAAATTGTCAGAGATTAAACATAACCATAAATATTGTATGAAAATTCTTACATAAAAATACCAAAAAACTTTTAAATAATAGAAAATATATAATAAATCTTCAAACATAACATCCCAACTCTAATCAACTACTCAAATCTAATCTTATCTACAAATCATCTACCGTACAAGTATGATATCATAGGAAAAACCACAACACAACATTTCAGGTTAAACAACCGGAATTCATATCCCACAATAAAATAATCAAATTAATTACAATAATAACCAAATCATAAACATATATTATCACAATGTTAACATCACATGTCATAAAAAAATCTACTTAAATTTATTTTAATAAAGAAAATATACAGAGGAATAAAATAAACTCAAATTATCTTTAAATAATCTTTCAATAAACGAATGAAAAAGATTAAAAACTGAAACAATCTTTGAACATCATTATTAGAATAACATTAAGAGATAATCTCGTGCTCGAAAACAGCGAATGTAAACATTTTTTATAGAAGTCTCAAAAATAATCTTCAATAAATCAAAACTGAAGATTACAAACTGAAAAAATCTTTGAATATCTTTATGAGATTAAAAACTGAAAAAATCTTTGAATATCTTCACAAAATATCCTGGCAAGAAAAATAGTGAGATGAGTTTGCTGAACGGCGCTGCACGCAGTCTAAACCATTTCATTCAGAAGCAATATAGCACAATAAAAAGTGATAATTAAAGAAATCGACAAATTTAATTCAATTGTTTATTTTTCGGGCAATTTGTCAAACAGAACAAAGGCATTTGCCATTAATCAATTAAAAACATGAAGCCGTAGATATAGCATGAAATAATCGGTGATATTTTGAAGTTTTCTGGAAGTATTATAAAACTATGACTAAAAGTAGTAGCAATGAGAGAAATAAGCCATGGAGGATTCGAATAAAAATCATGTAAATCATGAAAGATTCGAATGCATACCGGAAACATAGAAGGTTTCAAGAAATTCAAATCGACTAAAAGAGCTTCTTCGCTGCGAAAAATCGATCAGATTGAAAGAGAAACCCCGCTTCTCAGAACCGCCGCGGAGAACTCTTCGTGCAGCGCATTAACTTGTAAAACGTTTTTCTTTTATATCTATATATATATATAGAAATAAAAATATAATGACGCGGGGAAAACGGGTTGGTTCTTTCAATATAACAATAAAAATATAATATTACCCAGTCAGGTACGCTTTTGTTTGGACGGATCGAAATAAAATAGTGAAAAATAAATAAAAAGATAAAAGCAGAAAAAATATAAGATGAATAAGATATAAGTTTGAAAAGAAATATAAAAAGAAAAAAAAAAGGAAATTTCCTTTTTATTTATTTAAAACAAAAAATAGGGTCCAATGAAAATCACAATCAAAAAAATATTTCGATATTAATTAAAAATATAAATCATGTTTTAAACTAATATTAAAATCATTTGTTGTTTTACAAAAATTTACTATAATTTTTTTTAAGATGAGAGGTAGAGACAACTTCTATCTCATTCATTCCAATTTGGTAGGAAAGTATCATCAGTAGGTGATCCTATCAAATTAATTTTTATCCTTTCAATCACCAATAGGAACTTAATATTTTAATTATATTTTCTCTCTTTTTCTTATTTATTTTCGCTTATAGAAATAATTTGTATTTCAGAGATTTAGTCAATCAAATACTAAAAGTTTCACTAAGTTTTCAAGAAAAAAAAATGGTTGTATGGTAAAAATGGTAAGGGAGTTCTTAGTTTTAAAGATTGTAACTTTATTCCCTTTTGAGTTTTTAAGCCCTAAGAATGTTAGTGTATACATTTAGCTTAGATCAGGAAAAGTTTATCACCCCTGCTAGCCCTTTTCGACTTTCACCTCAATTATAATCGGTCAAATTCAAGAGTTTTTAGTGGTAAAATTAGAAGGCTAAAATTAATCAAAATCACTCAAGCATAAATATACGCCATTGTCTCTATTATACCCCATAACACAGGGCATCCTTGTGCAAGCAAACGCTCTTAGGCCTAAACATGAATTGAAACTTAAAATCCAGGGCAGATAGAGTAAAAAATGCCCTAAAAAGTTGCAAAATATGTCATTAGAGACTGATATCTGATATCCCCAACTTAACCACTGTTAGTATGATTTGCTATGTACAAAATAATCACCTGAAGCAAAAACCATGCTTTCACCTCCCGTGTACTGCAAAAAAGTTCAAAAAATGAAGCATGTTTTCTATCCTCTTTAAGACTCTGCGCTTATCACATTCTATCCTCTTCAGTCTCATATCAAACCAAAGAACTGCAGCATGTTTTCTTCTCCTCCTCCAAACATTCATCTAACAAAATTTATCCTAAATAAGACAAAGCTAAAAACAAAAGAAAACAATAGACCATATTGACGCTACCCTTTCAAAGCAAATTGTTATAACCAAAGTTCTAAATTGTGGTTGTCGCTGCATCTTTGATATTCCAAGAAAATGTGATCAAACAAAGTCAATGCTGCCGTAGTTTTGCTTGCTTTGTCGTGTCAGAAAAACTGCAGAAACCTTGACATACTCAAAGTCCTAACTGTGTTTTGAAAACCTTGGACTGTTGCGAAATCTAAGACTGTTGCGAAATGGCAGCACCAGCATCAGAGGAGACTGAAACTCTCCTGGCAGGACGAGTAGACTTCTTCACATAAGATGAATTCCACTCGCCACCATCTTGGGCATAGTAATCCATTGGATAATCTCCACCAAAATCTTCCCCTCCCTTTGCATCCCCCTCACAGCAAGCACCACTCCTCTTACAACAACCCACACCATCTTCACAAACTTCATTCTTCTCCCACCACCCAGGTATCACTCCCAGAGCAACCTCTGCCTCAAACGAAGTAAGCACCGGTTTCACAAACGCCTCACCCCAGTCAATGGACAACCTCGGACACGCAATCTGAATCCAGGCGTAAACAGAATCCTCAAACAGAGCAACCCTCCCAGGACTTAACTCCGACATCAAAACCACAGTGTAATCCAACCCTCTCTCCTTCATCTTCTTCTCCAACCTCTCCAAAATCCTAGGATTCCCTTGTCTCCCAAGAGTCCCCAAAACCACACCCCAAATCCGAGCCTCCCTCGCTTTCAAAATCGCATTTTTCCTCGACCGCTTCATACCCACGTGATCGTATTCCTCCAGAAACAACTTCCCCATGTAAGGGTCATACCTGAATGCCCTAATCCCCGGATTTGCAATCATGAACGCCACCAAATGAAACCTTCCATCCGCCACAAACACCAAAACGCTTTCACCAACGCCACAACCAAGCGAATTCGCCGAGACCCTGGGCGCCGTGCAACCCAGAACCTCACCCGCGGAAAGCGGCTTCGACTGAGGAACCAAAACCCTAAACCCTAACTCCTCCAATTGGGGCTTCGCAGCGCGAATCGCTGAGGAGAATTGAATTGTCCCAGCGACAACAAGTGTTTGGGGCGGGATTCAAGGTTCAACCTGACGGTGTCGACGAAGTGGGGGACGTCGATCTTGATGTCGACGAAAACGTAGAGGCAGGGGATCGTAGTGGCATCGATGGGGACGAGGCAGCTGTGTCCGTAGTGGATGAGGAGGTCGGCACCGAGGGCGGCGGCGGAGAAGTCGTCGACGCAGCAGGCGCCGTAGGTTACGTCGCCGAGGATGTAGCAATGGGTGACGGCGGCAAAGGTGGTGAAGATGTATGGGAGGGCTGTCTCGTATACACATCTAAAGGTTCAACCTGACGGTGTCGACGAAGTGGGGGACGTCGATCTTGATGTCGACGAAAACGTAGAGGCAGGGGATCGTAGTGGCGTCGATGGGGACGAGGCAGCTGTGTCCGTAGTGGATGAGGAGGTCGGCACCGAGGGCGGCGGCGGAGAAGTCGTCGACGCAGCAGGCGCCGTAGGTTACGTCGCCGAGGATGTAGCAATGGGTGACGGCGGCAAAGGTGGTGAAGATGTATGAGAGGGAAAGAGAGTACATAAGGAGGCCCTCGGGAAACTGGAGGGCGACGCGCTTGCCGCCCGTGGAGAGCACGCGCCAAACGGACTTGTGAATCTCGAAGTTGTAGTTGGAGGGGAGGACGGAGATGGCGGCGTTGAGAAGCGGGTCGTTGAGGATTGAATCTGGAATTTGATTTTTCACGAAACGCTTTGGCTTTGGCTTTGGGTTTGCAGCATTGTTGGGTTGGAGAGGAGATGAAGAATGGGGAAGAAGGAGCATCTCTGTTCCTGCTTTGCTTTGCTCCGACTCCATTGCCATCCTTTTTCTGCTAAACGCCTTCTTCTCTTGTTCTACTTTCTTTCCTCTCACACAAAATCTTTTTAAATATGCAATTATTCTATTCTTCACTCATCTAGGATCAAATTTAATTACCTCCTTAATTTACTTAATTATTTCACTAAATTATACACTGTATCTTTTTCAATTAAGATTTTTAAAATTTTGTTTTTTTTTAATTGCGTCGTTTTATCTGACTATAACTATTTTATTAATAGTCAATCAATCATAAGAAATTTAATTAAAATATGTTTGGCTAAACTGTATTAAAACACATTTAAAAAAGTTAATTATTAGTGTTTTTGTATGGATATGTGTAGGACTCAGAGATGTATTTTCTTTTAAAAGATACTGATACTTAAGTTAGACTTAATACAATTTAGTATTTGAAATATAGTAAAGCTTACTTATCTTTTTGAACTTAACATTCTACTTATAAGTTATTTCACACTTAGCATAGGTCCAATAAAATAGGTCCAATAGAATAAAAACAAACTTATCTTTACATTCGATCATCTATAAACAGTTTATAATGTCTTTAATAAAATATTTTTAATTAATATTTTTTAATATTTCGGTATTATTTTAGATTAAACTAGATAATGACCACTCAACCGCTCCTTATACCCTACAATTAGTATTTTAATTTAAATATAAGCATGGATTAATAAATAAATAAAAAGATACAAATATTAAATAAATCTAATTCACTTTAGGAATACAGATGTTTTTATACTTATTGGTGAAATAAATGTGTTAGTAAATAACATTTACTTCCTCGGATTTCTTTATTTTTGAAAAAAAAACACTCGCAAAGTTCAAAGAAATATTAATTTGTATTTAATTATTAAATTATTTTTTATGAACTCATTGTAAAATAAATACAATTTATTGAATATCTTGATTTGAAAAAAAATAATCTCAAAAGATATTTAAAAAAGCGAGAGTTAAAATGTAAATAACCCTTGCCTTTGAATGGTTTAAATTACGCTATTAGATTTTCAATTTTTAAATGTATTATTATTAAATGTTAATTAAATATACTTTGCTTTATCAACAAATTAGTCTCTTGTTTATTACATAGAAACGAACATAAATCAAACAAAATAAAGATTTTGTTTAACTAGGCGACTCAGTATTTGAAAAGAACTAGAAACTCTGAATGGAGAGACTAAGAAGTTAATACATCCTTTCATTAATAATTAATCTATACTATATTTTTTAATGAAAATGTTTTCCAATACTATTTCTGTATTGAAAATTAAAATTAATAGCATAATAAAGTCAATAAATTCATATTTAGGTCACATCAAACTTGTGTTTGGATTTAAAAAAAAATTTGAAAGAGTTGAAATCAGCAAATTTAAGAAGTAACAGAAGTGAAAGTAAAATTGTTTAGAGCAAGAGAAAGATACCGAAAAATAAAATAAAAGTTTCTAAAAATAAATATCATGTCGAAGTATTAAAATATGTAGTCACTTTCATATCAATCTAACAGTTATAAGTTAAAAAGAAAAAACAATCCTGAGTTTATACAAATGTATAAAGGAATAACAAGATCGAATGTCTTTTAAAAACACTACACTTCCAAAAATAAAAATCACTCCAATCAGAACCGTGCCGCGAGTACATATTGTTCCAGAGTATAGATATGTACAGTAATTCAATAATGGGGAGTTTTCCGTCAATAATTCCTGAAAATGCTCTTTTGAGGAAGCCTATTCCCAATAATTACAATAGAAAATAGAATTGATGAGTTTCACGAGCAATGCAATTCCAAAGATTTTATGGGTGTTATGTAGCATATATAGTGAACTAGCTAGAAAGATATAAATTCTATGATGGTACGTGTGCTGAAATACAGTGATGGTAAGGCAAATGAATTAATAACTGACTCTCCATCTAATCCTGTTTCCCTTAC